AGTTTATCTAAATGATCTCTAATGTAATTGTATAAGTATCAATTGATCCTCTACTGTTGAGTTAACTGCAAACTATCAGAATGGTTGTCTACATTTTTTTGCTTTTGATCAAAATACCATTGCCAAAATGTTGGGTTATTTACATTTGATTACATTTTTCCTGACTGACATGTGATTGTAGGTAACACATGCACGCAGATCAGTTTGGTTTTGACCACTGTTGAAACCATTAGGTTTAAGGCTTTCCATGGGTATATTGAGGATTTGTATGAAAACATTAAAAAAAAGAATTCTGACAGCAAAGGTGTTCGCTTCAAGACATCTACGCTTTCATGTGTCGTCTAAACCTAATATATATTTTTGACTGGTTAATACGACTATTGTATGCCAATACGTGTGTGTTGTGGAAGTCATTAGTACTGCTTTTATCATAAAATATTATACAAGTATTTAAGTTATTTTTATGTGGCCTTAAATGTCTTATATTAAACTTGCTGGAACCGACAGTGTGAAGCAGATTTATTTTTATCATCAACAGCTGATACTAGGCTGTGATGTGATCAGTTTCTCCAAGCATACACAGAGAGGGAACAAGGAGTGACAAAAGCAAACACGCCCTGAAGAGAAACCTGACTAAGAGCGTACAGGTGGATGATGGTGTGTCAGTGAAGCATGTGAGCGATGCATGACACACTGAATCTTCACGATGGTATGTTAGGGATGAGATATGAGTATCTGGCAGCATGATTCCACCTGTTGGCTTCCCTGTGGTTGTTATGGTGTCTTCCTGTGTGATCTGCTCCTACCTGGTAGGTGTTATTGAGGAAGTGAACAGGCACGCTGAAGGGTAAGGAGTGATGGTAGGGGTTCCTCAGGAGGATGGACAGGATCTCCATTCGGGACGGCCTGGCCTGCCTCTCTCCCTTCTGCTGCGTCCTCTCCATGGAGCGCTGGCAGTACACAGCATACTTCCCCGCCTCCGTCCTGAGGAGACAGTGGTTTATACTGTGACTGCTTTTACAACAAGTACAATTACAAATGTTTGTGCTAATATCCCAATTTTTGTTTTTTTAAATGTGAACAATGAAAGCCGGTATTTTTTTTCTAAGTGTATAGGAAGAAGATGTCAAATTTAAGATGAGAGATTTTATTAATACAATTAATCATGGAGCCCAAGCTTCTTTATTTGTATTGGTTGTTATAAAAAAATAACATAAGAAAGATTTTGCAAATCTATTGAGATTATTAGCACTTTCATGGAAAAATGTAAATAGACCAATTATTGGTAAATGTTATATTTTTTATTAATATTTTATTTGTTTACTTTTTATTCTACTTTCAATGTGTTCTTATTTGATTTGATTTGTTTGTTAGTTTTGAATATTGTTAGTTATTTTTATAATTATACTATATATGCTGTTATTAATTAGGTGTGTGTTTGTATTTGCATTATTGGTGGTGTGCCCCTTTGTTTGAGTCAACTTTAAGATCTGACATAAATGACATCAAATATAAATAACTATATTTCACTTGAGATCAAGTTGTGGTTTAGCACTGCAGAGGCTTCCACAGAAGTGAGTTGCTGATTATAAAAGGCTGAAAAGTATTTAACCAACAAAGAAAAAAGAACAAAAGGCACCTCATTGGATAATCGATTCATTTGAATGTCTGCTCAAGCTTGAAACTATTTTAAGTTCAACATAGGAATTTATGTTCAGCGTGCAAATAAAGTCTTGTGCATAACGAGAGATATGTGAAGAACTGGGCTCAATAAGTCAATCAAATAATGAGGACATTGGGCAGATTCAATTCTAAGCGTTAATATAAATAAAAACATGAAGGTTAACATTTTTAATACAAGATTCAAGACTTTATGATATTTATCTATTATTATTTTTTGGGTGTTGTTAAATAATAATAGTAATGATCATAACAGTAATAATAATAACAATCATTTACACTTGTACAAGCATACAACAAATATGTGCAGAAATAAAAAATAAAAGATGCATTGAAATAATTATAATAAAACAACTTTTGACAGAAAGCAGAGTTGCTGCAGAGTAATGAGTTGGGGTTAAGGAGTTTCACAGGGAAGCTTGTAGAGGTGTGTTTAATGGGCTTATTTATTGTTGTCCCTTATTAAATGCTGTGCCTTGGTTCTTGGTGCTAACGTTCGGCCCCTGGTTGTTTCCTCACCTGGAGTCTCCGTGTCTCTTCAGGTGAACCTGCAGCAGCCAGAGGAACGGATGCTGAGGCAGAAACAGTCCCACACACAGAGCCAGAAACTGCCATCCCTGAAGAACAACAGGCAAACACACACACCTCACACAGTCTGTAAACAAACACGACAGAAACTGTACAGAAGCATACGTGCAGAAGGTGACAGAAAACTGCAGCTTCTTCTTTTTGATACAGTTTCATGTGGAACAATGTGCCTCAAGTGTAACTAGCTTCAGTGAATGATCTGACAATAGGCTCCTTTTTCTTTACTCTCACAAAGGAGCTGACTGATGACTCAGCCTGTTGTCTGTTATCTCAGACATAATCATTCTTTGGAATAGTACAACTCTTCCAAACAGGTAAACATACTGTCTGCCCTCTGCTGGTGCTACAGGTATATCTGGTTATTGGTTACAAAACATCACATGATTAAAGTTCTGCTCTTCAAAAGGGTTTATTTTTATTTAAAGAAAATATTTGAAATACCAAAAGTAAAAGTACTTATTATGTAGTATGACCCATGCCAGAATCATGTATGTTACATTATTGCATTATAATTATTTATGCATTACATGGGTGTGGTTTATTTGAATTACTTTTTATACTGCCAGGTTACTGGGTACTGGGGTTGTATGTTACAATGTAATAGTTATTTAAAAGTGTGTATTATTAACCTAATCTGCAAAGTAGCTAATATCTAATGCTGTAAAATGAATATAGTGGAATCAAAAACAAAATTTGCCAACAAAATGTATTCGGGTAAAAGTATGATGTGTAGACTATGGTATATTACTATAAAGCATTATTTATATGAATAGTAATATAAACATAACTATACCTTGCTACAAGCAGATTATAAGGTACCACCAAGGGTTTACGAGTAGTTTGTAATTTATTTATTAATTAGGTTGTGAACACTTTATAAATCATTAATAAGCTTTTATAAGACATGAGATAAACAGGGCAACTGTGACCGGTTGCTTGCCAAATAGTGAGCCCACATTTATCTGTACTGCTAAGCCTTATTATAAATGGTAGTGACTCATTCATAAATGGGGAGTTGTTTCACACTTTACAACAAGTCTCCCTTTTGGCAGTTTTAAATGTTAGTAACTCATAAATAAATGTTCATAAGAGATGCCAAGAAACATCAAGATGGAAGGGGGGGAATCAACTCAGTGAGCAACAGATACCAAGGATGCTGGCTGATGAAGAAGACGAAGTAAGCTAGGTAGCCAATATAAGACTTAGCAGTACAGATAAATGTGGGCTCACTATTTGGCAAGATGACTAAGCCTTATATTGGCTACTCAGCTTACTTTGTCTTCTTCATCAGCCAGCATCCTTGGTATCTGTTGTTCACTGAGTTGATTCTTGCTAAGTAGCCAATATCAGGCTTAATCATCTTGCCAAATAGTGCGCCTGTGTTGATGTATGAAAACTATGTTAGAACTGGTTTATAAATGGTTCTTAATGATTAATAAAGTGTTTACAACCTAATTTATTACCTAATTACAAACCCTTCATGAATCCTTTATACGGGTAGTCTTATTGTAAAGTGGTACCGATTATAACACATAGTTGGTTTGTCTATAATCCACTATGGACATTAGTGTCATAGATTTACTCAGCAATGAATCCAACCTTTTCATACTGTGAAATGTCAGCATTTCCTGTTTACAACTCATGTAACTGCTTCCCCCTTGTGGTGAGAGTGCTTACCTGCAGGGGTGCTGGGTGGCCGTGTGGCTGCCTCCTGCAGGTCTGCTTTATGAGCTGGCAGAAGAACTCGTTCTGCAGCTCGGGGTGGGCCAGACAAACCTGCAGTGCACTCTGGGCCAGGGAGACATGGTAGTCGATGGCCGGAGCATCGATGGCCACGTTGATGAAGAGCTGACACGTCTGAGGAGAGACAATAGGTGGAGTTTAAAGACAAACGCAGGACAAATAGGGACAAAACAGCATTGATTACAGTGTGTGTGTGTGTGTGTGTGTGTGTGTGTGTGTGTGTGTGTGTGTGTGTGTGTGTGTGTGTGTGTGTGCATGCATGCGTGCGTGTGTGTGTACCTTGAAGAGTTTAACGGCCTCTGTCTGCAGAGCTTGTGAAGGCAGCGTGGTCAGAGGAGATAACAGAGCTTCCTTACTGAAACACAACATGGGGTGTCTCCAGAGCTGAGAGTCTGAAGGCAGAACAACATAATGCTAGCTGAATGCAATCATAAAATCATACAAATGGATAAATACAACGTGCTCCATACAAAAATTCCAAAGAAAGACAAATATATGTTTCACAACCTTTTTCAACATATTATTTTGCATGGTAAATGTACTGATTCCATCCATGTCATGTTGATGCTGATCATCATGATCCAAATCTTCCATGGATCATCACCCATCAGGTGAATATTGCTGCAGATGTGTTGAGGTCAGCTGATATTTAATCAGAATTAAAGAAAATAATTAGTGGTCACTTCTTACTTGAATCTCCATCCAGCTGGAAGAGTTTTCCCACCAGTTGTTCGAACTCCGTGCCGACTTTCCCCACGGTGGTGCCCGCTGCCATGGAGAGATGGTACAGCCACGCATCCTACGGAGGCACACACGTTAACGTCAGTGATAATGGGAATGAACACCAAAAGGCATGTTTTGTATTTTTATTGAGAACAGAATTAGTCCTGATTGACAAGTTTTCAGTTTGAATTAAAAAGGATTGCACGCAAATAAACACATGTAAAAATAGTCATCATTCATCATGGAATACCTTACCAAGAGCTATGAGACATACATCTTTTTGAACAGCTGAAAACCTTTTTATTTAGTTTGTCTTTATAATTATTATCATTCTTATTCTTCCTATTATTATTTGTATATTATATATTACTCTATTAGTATTTTCTTTATTTCACATGATATATTTTAGCATTAACTGAGTTTTTATTGTTATTTGTATAAAGCACTTTGAGCTATTTTGTTAAAACATTATTATTAAAACATTTTGGATTACCTTTGACGTGAACAATGTGATGCATCAGAGGTAATTTAGTTTTTTAATTGTTTATGATAGAAAACAAAACATTGCATATAGAAACTCCAATTCAAGCAATAGAAAAGACAAAAGAAATGTAGAGAGTTTAAATGGCCTCTTAAGGCAAATGTGATCTGTGATATTGGGCCACAGTATAAATGAAATTGACTCGACTTCCCGTAGAACGAGCGGGACAGATCATGTGATCAGAAATGACAAAAAAAGCTTTTATAAGTGCTGCTGACCTTCTGGTGGCGGGACTCGATGAGCAGGTAGGTGGGCCCCTGCTCCTGAGGGTGGATGGTGATGGTAAAAGGTGCCGCCTGTAAGCCCTGCCCACATGCCTTCAGTTCGTCATCAGAATCTCTTGACCTGTCCACCTCCTCCACCTTGGCCTCCCACAGCTTGATCTGACCCAGGGGGAACTGGGAAAATACACATGATCCCACACACACACACACACACACTGAAATAACAGGGAACACCTTTTGTCCTATAATAATGAAGCTCCTTTCTGCTGAGTCATTTACAATTTAATATAGATTTTTTGTCCAACCACTTATAGAAAACCTCAAAAATATGACCCTGACGAGCGTTACAGCTTTGTCTACATCCCGAACAGAGATTTCATGTTGAATCATACCTTGTCCTCTTGGCTGCGGAAGTAGTACAAGGTTTTTCCAATCAGAGCACACCAAACCCGCTTGGAGTAGCCGTGCTTAACCTGCAATGGAGTAAACTGATGTCACTAATCACACCACGCTGACAACCTGATATGAAAGACATGGGGGAAATATAAGTGATCAAAATCATTGTTTTGCAAGTCTTTGCGTTCAAGGCCAGATTAAAGTTCCAAATCTAAATTGTCTTAAATTTGCAGGTCTTGATTTAAGTCCTAAACTTATCATGAACAAGTCCTAAATAAGTCATATTGCGCTCTTCACCAATTTCTGCATATTGTGTTTTTTGAAAAGTTGCCATGGTTCTTTCCTGCCTCTTGATTGGACGCTTTTGACTCATTTAAACAAACCGAGTGTCGATTTAGCGATAAAGGAGTGAAGGAAATCAAGGGAGATGAATTGATTGATGGCAAACTGTTTAAATAACATACTCTGTAAGTATTGGGCTTCGGCGAAGGTATCAAGTATTTTCAAACTGACTTGGCAAGTCCTCAGTGTAAAGTGGAGATTCATGTATTTTTTTGAGTTTATCAAGTGAAGTTTAAAGTCCAATGTGTGATTTGAATCTGATTTGAAATCATGTGACTCAAGTCAACATCTCTGCTATACATGCATTATATGAAGAGATTTGAAGTCTAATTTTGAGGTCTTGGTACCTTGATGAGCAGTCCCTTCATGCCGGGCCGGATGTCGGGCTGAGTGAAGAGAGGACTGGCAGCCTTCAGCCGGAGCACACTCTGCAGCACCCGCAGCCACTCCTCCAGCAGGTTGGGGGAGTCCGCCTTCAGGTAGTACACACGCTTTCCTGTCACCACCTGCAGGACACAGGACAGACCCCCATGGAGGGGTGAGGACGAGGACGGGAATCTGTTTTAACTGTGTTTGGATTAGGAGTAGATTTTTCATAGTGGACAAACATACCTGGAGGACTTGTTTACCGTCGCCACGGGTGATGCTGCTGGTGGCGTTGACCTCGATCTGACCCTGAGGTTTCCTGATCACATCACTCTATGAGAGAGGAATAGAGTTTTACAGTGGCACATTGAAGAAATACAGACATACACGGTTGCCCATAAAGTTGGAATAATTTAGTTTTTAGACATATTGCTGTTTTTATTCCTATTTACACACACAATCATGAGAAGAGGTCGAACGTGTTTTATTCAAACTTTAGGGGCAACAGCGTATATCCACTTAGCTCGATGAATACAAATCATCTGTCAACAACAAAATGGATTTATACTAATTAAACCACATTTAATGACAACTATTTGAAGCTATACCATAGAGATGAACGCAGTGGAGTAATGATGAACATACACATACTTAAGTAAACAAAAACAAAAAACATTTAAGAAAAAAAAGCACTTAGATTCAAATAATATGACTTTGACAATAATTGTTGGAAGAAACCCACAGGTGAGTTGTAGTAGAGCAGCTCTCCGTCTTTGAGGACAAACCAGCGTCTCTTCCAAGTCTTCTTCCACGTCTTCACCATTTTTAACAGGTAGCCGGACTTCTCCATTGGTTCCTACAGAGACACGACACTGTTCAGTTTGATGTAGTACAGTAAAGTACAATACAAACTACATGCTGCAATTTCCACTAATTTAAAAGTGAGTTTAAAAAAAATTCATTAAAAGGACGTTGCCAAATATATATATAATAAAATACTTTATTGTATTTATTGAAACCTGGTAGAACTACTGGTGTGTTATTGCATGTTACGAAAGGAGCTTGAAATGTTAATTTGAGATATTTCTGAGGGACTCACACTCTTGCCGTTGTCACTGACTGTGGAGCAGGTCTTGGGGAGTTTCTGCTCCGGTTCAGAGCACTCTGTGTCGGTGGAGTAGGCGTCAGGGGGGATGGCGTAGTCGCTCTCTGATGTCATGGAAGACATGGACACAGCTGGAGGAAAAGAAAAAGTGAAGAAGTTGATGAGATGGTACTATTAAGAGAGAAAGTATTAAACAAGCTTCCAGCATGTGTGTGGTCCGTACCTCTCTTGAGCGATCGCGGGCTGCCGGGGCTGCTGTCCTTGCGGGAGCTGGAGGAGGTGTGAGAGCTGCAGATGGAGGCGTCCTCCTCTCCGGAGCTGGAAGACTCCTCGGAGCTGGACGTCTCGTCTGAGAATGGACTGCTGCTCAGCAGGGTGGCTTTCTGCAGGACGGTGGGGCAGCGATCAAGCCATAATACTGTATATCAAAATCTTAACCTCACTACTCAGACTGTAACACCACTGTTGAGAGAAAACTGTGCTGAGCAATATTTACAAGCTATTAATATTGTAACTGGCTGCTATTTTATTGAGTTCTTTTTTTAAATGCAGCTAATTTTTTTAACCATAGATGTGTACTTGATTTGATTGTATTAATGTGTGCTTGCCTCTTTATATCATATATTACTCTTCTGCTCTACTCAACTTATTTTGCATTTTATCTGCACTGTCCCCTTGCTGTAAAATTGTAAATGTCCCCGCTGTAAGACGTATATAAATTGGGGTTAAGGTTTAGATTAGGTTTAGGTCAGATATAATGTCTAAATGTTCGCTGAATGCATTACAGTCTTATTTTGATGTAAAGCTGGACTCACCCCCTTCAGAGTCGTATACACTGGAGTAGTCATGTTTCTGTAGATGAGGGAGGTGTACATTACAAAGGCAGGGTAGGAGGATTTGAGTGAGTGGTCTGCAACACAGATCACAGATCAGTTAGCCAGAGTCTGAGTTTGAGCGAGAAGGTGCACGTCTCCCCCTTCCCCCCCCCATCTTACCTTTGCTAGCAGGGTCTGTGCAGGAAGTCTCAGACAGTCGGATCCCTGACTTGGCCACAGCATATATACGACTCTCCTGTTGACAGAAACTGGCAGGATTAACGGTCAAAAAGAAACACTGACACTTCTACAGGGGCTGCAGCAGATGGCACTGTGAATACTAGAAATACAAATAGTAGCGCATCGACCTGAAATGACAGGCATGTGATGAAAACCATGTAGCCCCTAATAATAATATTATTTTCTGAACATGTTTACTAGATTTGAACCTAACCTGATCAAAAACATAATAAAGGCCCACAGATGCAAAAACTTTCGCACTACTAATTAATTTTCATTAAAGAGCTTAAAACTGGTGTACACTTTTATAACCCATAATGAGATCAAGTAAAACATAATATCCTGTTCACCAAAATAAGCGCATATTTTTTTTAATGCGGGAGAACCTTTGAAAATGATGCAATAGATTCCTTTGATATTGTCAGTAAACACTGCAGTATCCACTAACAGGAAGCTGGGAGTCTGCTGGCCTGGAAAAGAGCGTATTCATTTGATTGTCTGTTATTGATTGTACATTGAATATGTTAATGTGGGTTAGTGTTTTTTTTTTGCATGCAGTGGGAAATAGGCTTTAGATGATCTTACCCAGGAGGGCAGCCTGTGTAGCGGGGGTGTGGGGGGCACGGAGCTGTCACTGTCCTGCCCTGGGATGACCTCTGATTCAGGAGGCCCAGGCATGTCCTTTCCGGTCTCCATGCCGACCTCCTGCTCCTGGTCGAGGTCTGTTTCCTGCGGGCGGAGGGGGCGCAGCATGCTGAGAGCGTTACGCGTGTGGCCGTGTGCGACCTCACTGCTGATGGGGGGCTGGCTCAGGTGTTTCTTAGCCAGAGCTACGTTCATCAGCCCGAATCCTGCCGGGGTCCGCAGACGGGGCTGTTTGGGGGAGGCGGGGTTGTCCCTCGGGTCCTGGGGCGGGTTTGGACGTTTGGGGGTAAGGGCGGGCGTGAGGATGGGGCTGGGGGTGTTGGGCTCGCTGGAAGACGACGAGGAGTCGAGTCTCTGTGATTGAAAGCGTTTGTTTAGCTCCTCAGAGGTGTAGTCCTCCAGTTTGCCCCCCTCCTCCTCCTCTTCCTTACACCCTCCCAGGGGCCCATCCGAGGACCCCAGCAGGCTGAAGCGGGGCCGCTCGGCGCGCTGCATGTCATCGTCGAACAGAGAACTGCTGTCGTCCGAGGCAGTCAGGTAGGTCTCACTGCCGGGGCGGCTGAACTCCACACCGCCCGACCCCCCCCCGACCCCCTCCCCCTCTGAGGCGGCGCTGGAGAGCACGGAGGAAACGCCGCGGGACTCGGGGCCACGAGCAGGATCTCCCTGGCTCTCAGACACACTGTCGTCTCCCAGATGTCCGGTGGGGTCAGGGGTCTGGATGTCACCGTTTGTCCCTGAGGAGGCTGCCTGCTCACCGCTAATCTCTGCCAAAGCAAACATGAGGAAATATATCTAATAACTGTTAAGAATATTTGTTTTAATTAAGGTGGGGATCATGAAACCCCCTCAGTGTTGATTTATAATAAGCAAATGTCTTATAGCAGAGTTCACATAAATGATTAAATCTAAACTTAATTTCTCTGTATATCTTTGCCTTTCATTATTGATTTTAAAGTTATTTTCTACTTGTTTATGAGGTTCTTTATGTTTTGGGACCGGCCTACATTACTAATTATTTAATAAAGCTTCACAGTCTCTAAGATCTTACGCTGCAGTCTTTGTAAATACAAACTATCACACCAATAACAAAATCAGCAGCTTTGTCTTTTATCTAACTATGTACTAAAACTATTGAGAAAGAAGTCCAATAGTATAGAAGTCTAGGAAAAATGACCTGCCTTCTCACTTCATTTATCACTGTATATAACATTTTCTTTGTATGTTTTTTTATTATTGTTATTATAGCTGGTCTCTTTCAGAGTAAGATAGATAAAGTAAGTGATAAAGCAGTGAATGATTCAGGGCTACCGTGTGAGAGGTCGCTACCTGTCATTGCTAGGTTGTGTTTTCATCTTAAAACCATTTGTTGGGCATTTCAACATGTATTGTTCCGCAGTCAGTTGTATTAAGCTAGGCCCTTTGTGTTACTTTTGGCTCTAAAAAATAAGATGGAGAACTTGAGTCTTCAAAACCTTATGAATACGGCCAATTTTTAAATAAAGTTAATGGAAGGAAAGGTATTTATTTGTCCATGAATGCTCTGTTTCTCTTGTCAAATAAGACCAACAACTACCAGTAATTAATTAAAGTCAGGGGTCAAATAGTATGGTTGTGGGAACAATTGCCCAAGACCCCATGAATGTAACCAAATGGCTAAAAAAGTCTTCTGAGTCTCTTTGTTAATCCTCTATGATAAGTACCTACTACTGCCCATCTCGTTCCTTAACCAAATCTGTGAATATGCAGGGACTTACCGTTTTCTTCTATGTCCTCAGCCTCTCCCTGGGTGCTGAGGGTCCTCTGGCAGGGTGCTGGTCCTGTAAGGACCTGGGGGCTCTTCCCCCTCACCTGGAAACAGCCGAACGTCAGGCTGCTGAGCCGCTGGGCCTCCCCTTGTCTGCACAGGACTCCTCTTCCCGCACCACACTTCTGCTCAAAGGCTGCACACACAAACATGTTTCAACAGTATTAGTATGCAAAAGTGTGTGTGTGTGTGTGTGTGTGTGTGTGTGTGTGTGTGTGTGTGTGTGTGTGTGTGTGTGTGTGTGTGTGTGTGTTTCATAGACTGTATATATAAAGGTGTGTATGCACATGCATGCACTTGATACTTGCTATAGTGTCATCATGAAGGTGTTATCAAACTAGATTAGATATATTCCAACAGGACAGAAAAGGCTCTTACCCTGCACTTGTTTCTGTAACTCCAGAATCTGAGCCTCCTGTTGCTTGTTGGTTTCTCTTAGCGCAGCGTTCTCAACCTCAAACTGAAACAAATATGTTTCAACATAAAAGCACATCCCAACACACATGTTGCCACTTTTCCATCCAACTTTATATCTAAAGCTATAATTTAATTGACCTCTGATAACTTCAGCATCACCCATTCCTTGATTTTGGCTGCTTTCTCCTCCACTGTTTTGGAGTCCTGAAGTCGGATCTGTTTCTGTTTCGGAAATATAGGAAAGGAGGCTAAATCATGAGTTGACCTTGGTACTCGAGCATAAAAGTCACTCATGGTATTTCAAGCAAATGGATTGTGTTAATGCAGATTAAATAGTGGGAAATGCCAAATTAAACCCAAAAACTGACATTAAAGGTGGGGTAGGTAATTTTGGAGAAACCAGCTCGAGTGCGCTAGAATTTGAAAATACACAGCCGGAAAAAATCTGCCACTTCCTTACAGAGCCCCTCCTCCAACACACACGAACGTGCACATGACCAATGAGGGCACGAGATAAGTTGTTTGTGCACAGATGGAAGGCTGACAGGCAGGTAGGCCATCCAGTTATTTTAGCCGGGCCGGCTAAAATGATTGGTCGTGCTTTTTACAGTACTACGGCTTCCAGAGATGACTTTTTTTTATGGATTTTTTGTCAAAGCACTTAAGATATTCATTGCTATCGGGATGTTAAGAGCATTCCATGGAATATAACAAAAAGTGTATCTCGAGCCGGTTTCTCAAACTTACCTACCCCACCTTTAATAAATGAATTTACGGCAACAAAGCTAGCTAACGCTATGGGAAGCTCTATCACTTTTGTCCACAGGGGGCGCCTGTATTTGTAGTGGCTTTGAACCATAGCTTTCAACTTAAACCTGTGATCATGATTATTAGTAGAATTTAAAACTGAGAATGTAGGTTGCTCTTTTTGCATTTTAAATGTTCTTATTTAGGGATTATAAGAAAGCTTTTTACAAGGGACTGAGAGTTTCTTATGTTTTCTGCTTTCTGTGTCGACTGACTGCATGCCTGTATCTTCCTCAGTCTACATTATTTGGCACCTTTAAAAACTGTTTTAAAAAAAATCCCCTGGCTGTTGATATGAAGAAACTCTCCATGTGATGAGTGTTACCTGCTCCTCCAGCTGCTGTTCCATCTGTGCGATGACGTCCTCCTTCTCCTGCACCACGGCCTGCAGCTCCTGGCACCGCTGGAACAAACGCACCTCCGCATCTCCGGACTGACTGTCTGGAGCCTTCAGCTTCTCCTCCATCCACTGTACCTGAAAGTACATGTTCACACTGTAAATACACATGTGTACGCATAATACACACACTGACAGGAGAGGTATACACACTTTTGAATGGATCCTTACCTGCTGGTGAGCGGTGAGTGCCCGTTTTTCCGCATCGATCACCTGCGTCTCCAACTGTTGAATCTGGGAAAGGAAGAGCACAATATTAGTTTTCATTCCTCATTTGCGCTATTGTTTGAATATTTTATTCTTCTATTATCTTTCTCTTTTGATCTTAAAACTGATATAATACATATTGCATCCTATGAACACTTCCTTCACCTGCAGCATCTGATCAGAAACTGTTTGTTATTTCCCCTCAGCTTCACCCCAGAGGGAAAATATTCCATGTAAGTCCTGAGTCAAGCACAACCGCACCAAATAAAGACAAAGCAAGTGCTGCATGCTGAAGCTGAATGAGCTCCAGATAATGCAAATATGTTGCAAAGGAACAGATGCTTTGCAGCTGTTCATTGGGCACCTTTAACCAGCTACATAATAATAATGAGGTGTCACTTCTAAAAAGGTACAGCCAGCTCTTTGTTTGCTAAGATCAGAGCAGAGCCTGTGGAACCTTGTATGAGTGTGTTAAAAGCTGCTGCAACACCAAAAGGTCACACAGCCTGGATACACACATGTGGATGGACTGGAAGCACAAACACACAAGGATGAAAAACCCTGAGGGAGTTGAAGGGAGAGATAACTTTATGAGCAACATTCCTCCGAAATTCCTCAGCTGAAAGTGGTGGAATCAGCACGAGGAGACTCTTCTCAAACCTCAGTGGCTTTGTGAAGGAAAATATGCCAGAATCTCGATGGGAATTATCTGCTTAGCAACTCTGCAACCATCGTGGTTAGAATATTTTTGCTCCATGTGCACATAGTATATGGGGCATTGGCATTCTACCGAATTAGTACAAAGTGCGGTCCCACAACAAGAAAAACTATTTAACAAAACAATTAAGTATTCAGACATAGATATTTACTAAGAATATGTTATGGTCTATTTAAACATAAGGCATTACATTATATAGTGATAAGCTTAATATATACAAAAACATCATTTATATAGGGTACTTTCTATTGGGAAGTAGCTGTCCCCAACCCTGACATCTAAATTTCAATTTCTTTAAATAACACTTTTTCAATGGTGTATTTAGAAGATCTTTATGATAACATTCAAACAGAAGTTGGAATATTTCGATTTATTGTGGATTTAATTTTTTTATAAAACAAACTATACTTAAAAAAATCATGTCCTCAGTTTTCATGTCACTACCGAAACACAAGGGGTTTTAGTCCAATGGGTGAGCCTGGTTTCTAGCAACAAGTAGCTATATCCCATGCTTTTGATATAAATCTGTTCCAAAATCTGAAAATTGGCATGTAACCTTAAGAATTGTCACTATCTTCAATTAAGTAAACTTTTTCGGGGTTTTATGCAAAGTATTAGGTTCTTATATGTGTAAACCTCTTCAAATACATTTTTGCTAGCCATGTACTTGCTAGCATTCTTTAGTTATGCTCAATTTTAGCAAGAATCGTCACTACTGAAACATATGGTTAAGTTTTGGTAATTGACATGATCGTTTCGGTAGTGACAAAATGGAATGGTAAGCAGGTAAATCCCGCCATTTTGAAATAAATGTGTTTTAAAGTCTCAAAATCAGTGTGTTACTTTAAAGGTCTCTTATTATACTATTGTTAGGCATATATTATAGGTCTCAGATATATAAAAAACATGTCAATGAAGTGTTTTGCTCAAAATACCAAACAGATTCTAGCCTCATCCCCCTCTATTTCAGCCTGTTACTAAAGTGCTGATTCTGGGTCAGTAGCTTCAAACATTCACACTTCAACATAAGGCATGTTATGAGTTAAGATTAAGCAATAAGATTGAGGGAATATGATACAACTTTGAGAATAAAACACTGCAGTCACTACCGAAAAGTGGATATTATTTTGTAAAAAATTAAGTATATTGACACATTCCAATACAGTCTGAAAATACGATATAAAAATGTACGGTTCTTTTACTAGATATGTGTAATTTAGATATGGTACAAAATATATATGGACAAAGTTTTGGGGAAAAAACTTACACATTTCAACCTGACTTTGCACCAATTCGGTAGAATGGCCCATATAGTACATTTAATAAAAATTCCTTAGTATGTATCTAACCACATTTTTGTATCCACACACAGAGTCTCTCTCCCCACAACAAAGGGCTTTTCAAGAGAGCCATCTCCCAGAGCGGTGTCGCCCTTTGCCCATGGGCTATCAACAAGAACCCCCGCAGGTTTGCTGAGGAGGTATACAAAAGCTTTACTTACATGTTTTGTTTCTTATCTGTAATAGTTTTCTGAAATGTAAGCTGGGGTCGCATTGTTTGCCATTTAGTGTGAAGGTTGCAGCGTAGACCGATAATGGCCTCTCAACTGCTCTCGAACGTTCTGTTGAATTTCTGACACATCAGAAAATGTGGGTTGGCCGTCTTCAAGCTCCAACACAGTTGAAACATAACCACAAGGGCCGTTTCCACTATTTGAACATGATTACATTTCTCTGTCAGGGTTGCCTATACAGGTCAACTGCTCCCACCGATAAAAGGATGGCTCCGCCTG